TGGTTCAAAATTGGTTATGCTACGTGACTTTTTCTGCACCGGATCAAAATTCCGGATATTTATGACGACCACTGTATAAAGTATTGATCCCTTTTTTGATAGGATGCAAGAATTTTACGTGATTGGGAAACATGGATGCAGGAGAAAACAACGGTATGTTCAGCTGTTGATTCTTATTTTATATAGTTGGATTTAGCACTGACAAAAATCTCTATATAGATTTTAGTTCGTCGTGATGTACGTAATACCAATCTTAATCTTCATGAGGAGATAAACACGTTGTCATTAAGTAAGGTAAATTAGTCATATTCCTCAAAAAACAAACTAAAAGGCTTTCAATGAGTATGCTTAAATAATTTTTATTACAGGATGGGTCATCGGCAAAAAACATGAAATCTAATCCGGATCTAGATACGAGTGAAGATCAAGAGGAAAAAGATCAGGAAGAAGAGGAGTCCGCAGATAAAATCTTTATGGACAAGGGAAATAATGAAAGATTCGTAACGGTGTTACCAGTAACGATATTGGTAATATTAACTTCATGGAACGTATAGAAGAATTCAAGCCAATGTCATCAACCTGTCAACGTCCGTGGGTCCTCCGTAGTGGTACAAACGTAGGAGATAAATTGACAAGTTACATCAAGACGATTCCTGAGGCCCAAAAATGTTTGAAGTAGGTTTATTGATAGATAATATGGACGTTGTGACTTTTTTTTTTAATTATGAATTTTTTCACTTATGGCCTCGCATATTGGAATATACTTGATTTGACCGAGAATACCCAAATAAAATCTCTTTTCTCGACGAAATGACTGGGAGGAAATGGTTGAAAGTTTCAATAATGAAGTTAAATTGATCGAATCGGATTTTCTTAATGTGGTAGAGTATCTTTTCGATGAAATTGAAAAAGTAAGTCAAAAGAAAATATTTGTCTTATTTCAACACTTTAAAAAATGTTGCTGACTCGATCACGAAAAAAGGCGATAAGGATATTATCAACGCGATCGATAGATTAAACCCGGAAATTATTGGAACAAATCGAAAAGTAGAGCTTAGCGATGAAGAAGAAAAAGTTATTCCCATTTTAAGACGGGCTGCTGTCACGTAGTGAGCAAAATATAATTATCAGAAACTTTATTTTATTTTCTTACGGTCAATTCTTGCACATATAGTGCTGAAAATCTGGAAAGAATTGATCTTACTGTTTCCGAGGCTAACTTCGACAACGCATTTCCCAACTTGCTCGCCAAAAGATTCTTAAATAGCGAGGAACTAAAGATGGGCGGATAAGCAATATTAACGGTCTGATTTCAGGTAATCAAATTCCATCTTACATAATTTTATAGTGGGAAATTGCATGTTGGGTGTCAGCTTGTTGCTGAAATGAAGGTCGCATTAGCATTGGACAAAAGTGCGATTTTCGAGGAACTTTGAAAAAGAGTATCAACAGGCTTGAGGCTCTCATGGGTCTCAGGACTCCCGGAGCCTCATCAAAAAAAATTATTTTTACAAAGACAAAATTGATCTGAGCCTGGCAATGCGGGATATCTTATATACGTTCTTTAAAGAGAATTCTAAAGCGCCTAGCTCTGACATTCATTCCACATTTGTCTTTGAAATAACTCATGGGGTAATTAAGCAGAAGAAACAATCGTAGTAATGAAATTGCATCAACTAACAATTTTTCTTGTCTTTTGCTAAGGATGGGTTCATAATATATATGGGATAAACTATAAAGCGACGAATATACTATGGATAACTTGGTGGTATTTTTCATTCAAAGATGCCCAACACCCTAAAAACGCTCTCAATACTCGAAAGTTTCTATGTACTTTTCATGGATTTGCAAGTATTACTTATCATTACCACAATTGAGAATATTTAGAATCTTATTGTACTATTATAATCACCTAATTTCAGGCCACATTGAATGCTATTTGTGAACACACAAATAGTGTCTCGCTTGCACATTCACGTGCACACAGAAATCGAAAAAGAAAGAATCCGGAACAAACTGGTGAGAAAGGAGGATCATTTGGAAATCTTTCACAAACCCCGGCAAATAAAAAGAGTAGAAAGTATAAAGATCATTAAGCATGAATTATGTAAATTCTTTCTTAGATTAAAAGTCAATAAAATTTAATTAAGTATCATAGGAACATTCCGAGGTTGTAATTATTTTCGCGTCATCAACTGAAAATTTTAAAATAAAGACAAGTACCAAAATTTCCCCCGTTATATTACAAAAACAAAAGTATTTCACTGAGCACCAAAGTTGGGGTTTGAATTGCATCATATAAAGCCTTTGTTTAGTGTTAAAACTTGGCAGAATTGAAATTGACTGACAGTTGAAAAATATGCTTTACATTCGGGCTTACGAACATCGAATAATTACTCAATCATGACATAAAGTAAGCCGCGTTAAATTGTCCTTCTCACAAAAAAACGATCAGAAACTATTTCGCCGTGTCAGCGGAAATACGTGTCTAGTACTTTTATATTGTCGGAATAAATATGAAAAAATAATCTTATAACTATAAAGCACTTGAAGCTTTGAGATTATTTTTCTAACTAGGCATAAAAATTTATAACAAACGACTGCAAATACATTAACATTAAAATACTTTTTAATGTACAACTACCAGTTTAAAAAATTCCGTTTAACTCTTGTTCTTTTTTGTCTAACTTATCTTTCATTAGTCAATTATTCCACCTGTCAAAACCAAGTAAAGCAAATGAGAGTCTATTATCTGTTTGAGATTTGTAATTCATATATTATTTTTAGGCCGGCTAGTGCCACTGAAGAGAATAAAGTTTCTTATCAATTTACTCATAAATTTGTTGACAAATTGCATCCGTTCATCCTTTTGGTATCTTAAAGAACACTATCCGATTGAAAAAAAGCGAAGCGAAGCGGTAGGTATGTGTTCTTTTTTTATTTTTTGATATCTCTTTTTTGCCGCTGCTATTTTCTGCTTCTGATAGTACTGTAATTATTATTCGTCATATGTGTCAGTACAAGTGAGCGGCATCAAATTGATTTCCAGCATCACGTATAAATGGGGTTGAAATTTCAGAATGGCCCCTGGACATCAACAACACTGTGTGAAACATGTACAAGTATAGAGGATTCTGCTGTTGGTATTTATATAGATGGCAGTAATAAAGTTACGCAATGATCTGATGGTAAGTCATATGGTTAAATCTTCCTCCATGATCGATATTTAATTTTAGAATAGTAATAGTGTCACAAGCCGTTTCGCATTTCGGGAAACGCCACCAGCTAACTTATAATTTAGTGGTTCCTTAAAAAGATTCGATAATGATAACTTCTGTTTCGCATTTTGGGCATCGCTAGTTATTATAAGTGGCCTTTATCCCATCGTCAAATTCGCATGTTGTTTAGTTTGTTCATATTATTTCCCATTCCACGGAATAAAATGCCAAATAAACGATCCCCTTTGAAATCGAAAATTTACTTTCTTTATCACTGAAATATTAATTATTAACGGGATCTTAACAAACGGTTCATTTAAGCTGTGTAAATTATCCGTACTCTTAACTGGGGAACGAGAGTTATTAATTATTTATTAAAACGAATATTGTTTAATTAGTTTGAGACAAGTGACAGAACCCGACTAGTCGAAATACCAAATCGAAGATAACCCTGTTTAAATTATTAAATAGAAGTTTCCCCTTCGATTCCGCAGTAGAATAATTGTTGTTGTTATTTTATTGTGGGTGCCCTTATTTGGAATCACGAGTAATTTGAAGCTCGGATAGGGAGTGAAGAAGCGCACTTTAATTATTAAATTAGGTCATTTATGGATTAGAATTCAGTCTTAGTTGAACAACTACCGTAATAAGGGCGGTAGCACGAAGCTAATCTGGTAATAACCCCCGGTCGGAAGAACACCTACGCGAAAGATTAATCGCTCTCCCAAACCCAGACCATCCGACCGTAACAATAAGTAATCTATTTTAAACCAGTTAATATTTGCAGGTATCCTAACCAAATTCCATTATGGCAGATTAAGTGAGCATAATGTGTAAAAAGTAGTCATAGTCAGTGATTTCTTCATTTTCAGATAGTAATCAGTAGCATGCAGTGAGATTTCTGCTGCATGTCAATTTATTCATGTAAATAAAAACTTTAACAAGTGTAAAGGAAGCTAAGCATGATAATGAAACGAATAATGAAGTAATACAACTATAGGATTACCTCAAATGGAAATTTATAATTATAATGGCCATTGAATACAAAATACAAGAACAATATGTTTCTTGGAGTTTCTGTAACAGTGATTGTGGTTGTCTCTTCCTTGTCTTTATTAGTTGGTATTAAAAATTTACGTGGTGAGTGAAATTAACTGCCTGGTGAAAAAAAAAAAAGTGAAAAGAAAAAATAGATTTCATTCATTAACCTTGTTTTGTCAGCATATTGTCTCCCACTAGTTAGACAGTAGAGAGGAGAAATAAACTAAAAATGCTTATTTTTTTGTCATAATTAGAACATTTTTTCCCTGCCTGTTCTTTCTTCTAATAGTGCTATAATAGTAATTCTTTGGTTCCATGGTGGATTTGATGTAAATTAGTTTTATATTGTATTTTTATAGAGAGAGGTAATCCTATATTACACATACTGTAATTCAAGTAAAGTTATCTCAATGAGTACATCTGGTATGATATAAACTTAAAAATGTCATTTACATAATTTGTGCATAAGTCAACAGTTGTGAATAATAATCAAAACATCATTAGTCAAATTAGTTAACCTTCAACCACACAAGCTTCCTACTTTATTATTATGTTACAACAAATATATCGTCACTGCTGCTGCATCCAAGCAACTTTTGAGACTAGGATGATGAAACTCATCAGGATGGGATTTCTTATATGACTATGGACGTCACTCTTTCGTTGTCCAATATTTCTTTAATTTGGTATTCAAGACTACGTTACTGGAAATGGTTACTTTATTGCGAGATAACACGGGCTTATATCGGGGTACATGAATCGTTTTCGAACCAATTCTATTACATAAGTGCCAAGCATAAAGTTAAAATGCATTATTTGTAATACAAGCTGTCGTGATTTCTAATATAGTATCAAGCAAGAAAGACTATCGCTATATTGAGATGTTGACTTCTCGGACACTTTTGTGATACTCTAAAAATCTATCCATCGTTCGGAGTGCAACTCGCTAGACTAAGACGTTTACTTTCCGGTTCTACCCGATCGTTTTCGTGATGTCTTCACGATTAAACGAACGTGTTCTTGTATTTAGAAGAAAAGCGCATGCTCATAACGACAGCGATAACATTGTAAACATTCTGTTCGGATACTCATTTCCTTATTCCTTTTTGGTAAGAGGTTTTCCCTATATGGTTGGGGTCTTTTATTTGCCTTAATTAGTAACAGTCGCTCATTGGAAGTTCATTTAACATTAATTTTTTATTAATATCAACAACTAACATTAGAAAACGGGATAGGTCCAAAAATAGGATACATTATCCTGTTTTTGTCCAGATAATGATGTCTTGTCGTACAAACAATCGAAGTTACCATTGCACCTTGAGAAAAAATAACACTTTACAGGACTTTTCCTTTATACATTTCCCAAACTATGAGTGAAACGTCAGGCTGGAACTCGTTTTTCCACAAAAACACCTCGTATGACACTTCCACACCCAGATCTCCCTCTGCACAATCGCAGAGACTATCTTTTTTTCCGTATAGAGAAGACGACGATGATCGCACAAGCCAAATACCCTTGGAAATGAAATTAGAACAAGGCAAAACGAGAAGGGACAGTAGCGACCCGAATATACCCCAAAATCCTTCATTCTGGATGGCACCCGAGAATTCTGCATATTCTCCAAGTGCCCCACCTCCTTCTCAGTTGCAGGATGAGCGAACTGAACATTCCCCTTTCGATGCGAGGGAGCGTCAACCCAAGCCAGAAAGCGACGAAGCATATGTCAATCAGTTTTATCGGGACGACGCTAATGAGCGGTATAGACAGTCTGTCAACCGGACTTACCAAGACTTTAATCAGCCGTATAGACCGCCTGAGAATTCTACTTATTATGGTGGAGACCCTGACCCTGATAATAGGAATAGTACGCAGGAACGTCCTGGGAAAGACTCAATACCTAAAGCATTAAGGGATCCAAAAATTTTGAAGCAACTACATGACAGGAGGCCCTGGAAACCTTGGTTCATAGTAACCGTATCTATCGCACAGGTCATCGTGTTAATATTCGAATACGTTAGTAATAAGAATATCACTGGGGACATTATTGCAACAAGTCCAGTATTTAATCCTATGATTGGTCCATCTTCTGAGGTAAATAGAATGTGAGAATAATGATTGTGAATGCAGATTGTCAAATATACGTTCGTACATGTTTAAATTTGTTTCCATTATACTCTTTGTTTTCCGTAGGTACTCATATTAATGGGAGCCCGCTTTGTGCCATGCATGCGTACTGTTCCTCAACTGACAAACATGCCGTTTATCTGTCCTAATGAGACGACAAAGGTTTCGCCAGTACTAACATGTAAACTGGAGGATGTGTGTGGGTTTGGAGGATTTCACAATCAACCCCCCGATCAGTGGTTTCGGTTTGTCATTCCAATCTTTCTTCATGGTGGGATTATTCATATATTATTCAATATGTGTTTCCAATTACAAACTGGAATTCAAGTGGAAAAGGAAATGGGATTCTGGAGGCTTGGGATTGTTTATATGGCGAGCGGAATATTTGGCTTTGTTCTTGGAGGGAACTTTGCTCCAGTAGCTGTTCGTAAGTATTTTATTGATTGACGCTAACGCATTTCATAAATCCTTCGTTCTGTATTCTCGTTTCTGACTATTTATTTTCTCTTAGCTTCAATGGGCGCATCTGGGGCGTTGTTTGGAATAGTCGGTATACTTGTTATCGATTTGCTCCAAAATTGGCGCATCATCACCAGACCATGTTGTGAATTAACGAAACTACTTGCTATGATTTGTTTTACCTTCCTTCTCGGTCTTCTTCCTGGCCTTGATAATTTCTCACATATTGGTGGATTCATCATGGGCATATTAACGGGACTCGTTTTTATGCCAACTATCAAATTCTCTAAACTCCACTCAAGAATTACATGGGGGTTGAGGCTTGTTGCTTTTCCTATTGCGCTTATATTGTTTATAACGCTGACAAAGAACTTCTACACTACTAATCCAAGTGAGAGATGTCAATGGTGTAAATATCTGAGTTGTTTGCCTGTTAATGGTTGGTGTGATAATACTGGCATCAAAAATTCTACTACTACTACTACTTCCGCGCCATGAAGATGGAAGACATTTAGTTGTGACAGTTGGAGATGAAAGCAGAAAACGTGAACGTAATCTACTGAATAACAAATGAGAAGTGTTTAATAGAATAAAAGGACTAGGACTTTCCAAGCTTTTAAAATTGGCACTCTTACATTCACTAGGTAACTCATAACATTGGTCTGGATAATTTTTTATGTATTTATTGTATTTGTATTATTTTCTATACACAATCAAACTTTGCGCAAATAAATTTGTTTTGAGATGAAGCAGTGAAACGAGAATTAAAAACAAAGGCTGCCTTTTTGGTCAACATTCTTAACTATAACAACGAAAGCTCATGTCCTGGCTAACTCGTTTTATCGAATTGATGCATAGTGACTCTGACTTTGTCATAATTCTAGACCAAGTTTTCTGGAAAGTTTACCGGCGAGCTGATAATCTTCCTCCGCAGTCAAACAAACCCACGAATTTTAGTTCAGTTTCACAAAGATTTAAATTAGTAATAATAATAAAATGACAGCGCTGCATTGCAAAAACGTTTCGAAAAATCAGTGACAAAAGAGTGTTTCGATTTTTCAGTGACGCTCAAAGATATGTAAGTAGCTCTTTTTCCATCGTAAAAAGTTGTTATTCAAATAAAATTTAACACTACCGATCTTAGTAGTATTCTCCCGAAATCCTTAATTATCAATATACGTATTTTATTCTTCATCGTCGAAATAATTGATTATTAGACCGGACACCCAATAAACGGCTCACTTAAGCTGTAACGGAAATAGCATTGATTTAATCAAGCTAATAAAGCCCGCTGATCAATTACGTGAATAACGGAACGAGAGTTCATAATCAATTATCGAGACGTTTAATGTTTAATTAGTTTAGTAAAGACAAGTGGACTAGTCGACAAACAAATCGAAGATAGCCCTGTTTATTTTTCTAAATAGTATTATTCCCCTTCGATTCTTTAATAGTTATTGTTCTATTAAAGATACTCTTATTTGTATTCACGAGTGTTTGAAATTCGGATAGGGTGTGAAAAGCGCGCATAATTAAATGAGGTCAATTCGCTAAGCCTGGTAACATCCCCGGTCTGCGAACACACCTACACGAAAGATAAATCGCTCTACCAAAACCCCATTCAATTCCCGACCGTAACAGTAATAAGGATTTCAGATTTTACGTATATAATATAGCGTGTAAAATTTAAAGTACTTATTTCTATATGCATCAAATTCTATCCTTATTTTAATTGTTTCTCGTACAGAAAAGTTGCAAAAGATAAAGTGAGCCTTAAATGGTAAAGCAATATAAATTTTGACGACGATTTTAGCGCGTATTATACAAACGAAGATACTAATATTCATACTTTAAGTAGTCTTCATCCAATTATTTTATTAAACGCATCATATGGCCAAGAATGACGCATGCCTCACATAAAGTGTTTACTGAAAATAACGTTTCGACAGCCAATCTTGTGAAAAGCATCCTCTCAATGCCCCGGAATCTTTCTCAAGGCAAACGCGTTCGAGATGCGATGAAACTAAAGTCTGGACTATTATTACTATGATTTTTACAAACTACAAAAAAAAATTACCCAATAAATGCTTCTCGTTACCAGGGAACTTTCATCGAAACAGATATTGATATCAATGAAGGATAAGAGTATATTAATATTGCAAAAAAAGAAGAAAATAAGACATTAATGACATTAATGCTCATACCCCATTCCCATCGTTTACAGAGTTGTCATGTTATAATATTGGCTAATGCAAAAACTATTTCGTAAAAAAGACATTGGAGTTGCATACTAACACGAAGATAACTTTAGCGACTGTAATAGAATTCGCATCGCTGTGATACAAGATCCCGTGTTGCTAATTTCTATGTTGATTAGTGTAACGCCGAATTATATATAAAACAACCCCTTCATGCATCCCTGAATGCCTTTGTCTATTAAGGTTTACTGTATTTTAAACCATGTGACCTCGAGTTACTAGCTGCTAGGAAGTACACAATGCAAACTAAGACGAACCGCCCATATTTTCATCAGCATGTTCTCAAGCCGCCCGCAAAGGTTTCTACATTTACACAGAATAATAAAGTGCTCACGACATAGACAATATGAATATACAAGGACTCACTGGCATACGCTTTTAGGCTCAAATAAACAAGACGCTGCGAGGATTACCATAGCTTCCCCAATTACTTTGGTGAGAAGTTATAGTTCAACTTCGTTCGGCGAAATTGTGGATAGTGATAAATCAAAAGATCCCTTTAGTTCACACGTGAATCTAGCTAAAAGTTCAGACATTGTCGATGATTTCCATGACAGTGATGCTATAATATCTACTTTTGATTTATTTTCCATTGGAATAGGTCCATCCTCAAGGTTACTGCATTGCTTCATCGTGATTGAGATATTTATGACTATACTTGTGCGCCATGTTAATGCTTATACCAATAACTTTTTAGTCATACGGTTGGGCCGATGCGAGCAGCCAAGACGTTTGTTAATGATCTAAAAGCTTACAACATTCTTTATAGAGTAAGTAGGTTTGTTTCATCGCCACATCAAGTTCCTTGGTCGGTTTGCTGACTTTATCCGTCTTCAGGTTCATTCCATCCGTATTGATCTATATGGATCGCTTGCGCTTACTGGTAAAGGCCACGGCACTCCTAATGCTATTTTAATGGGAATGGAGGGAGAAACACCCGAAGAGATCGAGACGACTAGTATATTAGCTCGAGTCACCAATATACACGAAACAGGTGAAATATTAAAGGCGTCTCGCTTCATTCCTTGCGTGCAATCACTAACTTGTGGATATGATATAGAGACGCTCAAACTTGATGGATCACATACGATAAATTTTGATCCCACTCGTAGTCTGGTTTTCAATTACACTGAATCACTCCCTAAACATCCCAATGGAATGCGATTCTGTGTATTCGATGGACAAGGAGATCTGGTAACCGAAAGAGAGATAAATGTTTATAACTGTACTACATACCAGTAGAACAGGATACTAAGACTTGTTTTCATGTTTCACCGACATCCCTTATAACGCATAGTTAGCAACAAATGAATATTTCTCGATTGGAGGTGGATTTGTAATAAATGAGAGAACTCAAATCCAACATGACGAGAACCTGTACCATAAAGAATGCGAGGAAGCATTCATGCCTCAATTACGAAACAGTCAAGATTTAGCAGCACTTCCATTTCGCAATGCAGGTGAACTGCTTAGTGTCTGCGAGCGAGAGAATATGACTATAGCACAAGTAGTGTATGAGAACGAACTCCGATGGAGAGGAAAAGAAGAAATACACAAAAAGATATTTGAAATATGGGAGACAATGGATCAGAGTATTCGCAATGGATGCGTGGCTGAGGACACGTTTTTACCTGGGAGATTGAACGTCCGTCGGCGAGCTCCTGCATTATATAAAAATTTGACAAAGCGTATATATACAACGTCGCAAGTAAAAGAAGCTTTGTTGGTTGAAAACAAGACAAAAAGTCAAGAACTGTATCGCACCCTTCCACGGCCAACATTGAAGAATAAAGCCTTGCCCGCTTTGGATTATTTGTCCGTATATGCGATAGCTGTAAGAACACTGTTTAGTGAAGAATCTGTTGTTTGATGTAACGATTGTCAACAACTATTGACCTGTATTTTTAATAATTTTTAGGTAAATGAGGAAAATGCTGCTGGCGGAAGAGTGGTTACTGCTCCCACGAATGGAGCGGCAGGCGTTATTCCTGCAGTGTTGAGATATTATCTGGAATTTTTTTCTACCGATCTTAAACACGATATTATAGAATTTTTATTTACCGGCGCTGCTATTGGAATGCTATTCAAAAAAGGAGCGAGTATCAGTGCCGCAGAGATGGGATGTCAAGGAGAAGTTGGTGTCGGTAGGTTGCGTGCTAGCTACGTAGTTGTATAATTAATTCAAGACCATGACTTGTACTAATGTACACCATTTATTGTTCGTTCAAGCTTGTAGTATGAGCGCAGCAGGGTTTGCAGCCGTAATGGGTGGGACGCCTGAACAAGGCAAGTGTAGTCAGAAAATAATCCATTAATTTCATACGCTCAGGTCATGTATTCATTTAATAATCTTTTTAACTGTAATCTTTGTTAATTCAGTCGAAAACGCTGCAGAGATAGGCATGGAACACAATCTAGGATTGACTTGTGATCCCATAGATGGTCTCGTTCAGATACCCTGCATAGAGCGCAATGCTTTAGGAGCTGTAAAAGCCGTTACTGCCGCACAGCTGGCATTGAATGAGACTGGAAAACATAAAGTGACTCTGGATCAGGTAATAGAGACCATGAGACAGACGGGTTTAGATATGCAGAGCAAATATAAAGAGACCAGTCAAGGAGGATTGGCCGTTAATGTGCCTCTTTGTTAACAATAGATATAGTATATTAAGCATGATTATAATACGAAAGTTTATACTAGACAAGCGAGTATATCGCTGTAGAAAGGTTAAATAAGCATTAGAACCACAATTCGCAGACCCTATTTTACTACTTTAATATTTTGTCTCTTACTATTACACCACCTTATACACAAATTTAAATTATCCCTTTTTTATATCGGACGTTGACAGTTTTCCATCTCTCTCTAATAAACAATCAAGAGATTTATTAATAGTTGACTAGATTAGATAAGCGCCTACTGGTAATGAGTTCTACTTGTTGCAGATGAAAGAACGTTGTTGAATATTCAGTACCCTAGGATGCAATAGATTTTTTAAAAAAACCAAGTCGTGTCCGATTCTAGGGATCAATAAGCTCTGGATTTTTTTTTTTCAATCCATATTATCTATTATGTTAGATATTCTCTCTTTTTGTCACTCTGGATCTATTGGTTCTAACTTCATGGAAAGAATACACAATCGTGTTCTTTTAACGCTGTATTCTTTCATAGATACGTGTCAATAATATTGTAACGCAACAAGATGTGTCTCGCGGTCAGATCTTTTGGGACATCTGTACAAAGATATCACCTTCGCGAGGGCTATTGTGAGATCGATCATCATGTAAAAACATTTGAGATTAGTTTTTGATAGGTGACTTTAATATTAATATACTTCAAGCATAATTACCATATTAGTATGCTCTCTACGGTATTCTATATAACAGTTTCTTTCTGCCCATATAATGCCGTTCTATCCCACATTTCTAGATTCATTGCACTCGCAGTGAATATCCAAATTTCCTCCAAAAACTTTCTAGAAAATTCTCCAAGCCAAGGAGACAATGACTTCACAACCTCGCTCCACAACATTCCTTTCTCAGCCGGTAGCAGTAATAATGACATGACATATTCCTTAATTAACTCGTCATAATGGTCTGGCATTAACACTCTCAACTCACGTTCGACAAAGTGTTCTAATCTATCCATGTCACTCTTATATATTAATCTATCTCCATTCAAGTGTGCAGGAAAGTTCATAACATGTAGATTGTTTGTGTAGACTCTTCGTCTTTGATGTAAACCTGACATCGACAATGAAACTGCGCCATCCTCGCTATCCCATGCCTGATCCGATAACGACGATGGCTGGTAGTGTTTATCGCTTTTGCTATCCTGAGAAAGCTGTAACCTCTCAAATGTACCTTTCGCTTCGTCAACGTCGTGTATTATGAAATCCGCGCTCTTTTTGCAGAGTGGGCACTGAACGACAACAGTTAACCATTGACGTATGCAAGAAAAGCAGTAGCAGTGGTAGCATGGGTACAGGTAACTCAAATTCACGATAGAGTGAAGACATATCGGACAGTGAGAAGTATCATCCTCGTTACGATCGGTTTGTATGTCCAAAGTTTCCTGGGAGATATCGGAATCTGAACTAGGTCCTTGTTCTTTTTCACTATTACTATTCTCGTCCGAATCGGGAATTACGGCTTGTAGCTGGATATCATCTGTTCCTTCGACAGTAGTCCCGGAAATCGCAGGGCTAGATTGAATAACTTGCATTGAGATCTTTGGTCGTGAAATTGGAGAATTGTTATTACAACTGCCGTTGCCATTATTTTTATTGTACAGTTTAGCCGTCCTGCTAAAATTCTTTGCTTTGTTCTTTTTCTTTGATAATGCGCTAGTCAAGACGTACGATTTTTCTTTGTTCTTGCTTATTGCTAGTTCGCTGTAAGGTATTTTGAAGCGTATAGCGTTGTGAGACATGTATTTACTGTATGCCTTGCGAATAGTTGAATTGCGGATTAAATAATATGGGCGTGCAGTGAACTTGTGACATCACCATCATCGGCTCATTTTTACTTTCTCTTTCTACACAATTTGGTATCCTTGCATCTTTGAGATTGCCGATACTAGTTTCTCAATATTTAACATGCCTACGGAAGCAAGTTATATAAACTGTCCTTTTTGTTCTCTATTTTCTCTTTTCTTATTCCTGCGATTTTAGAAATTTTGGCTTGGTTATTTAATATGACGTCATTAGTTTATTGCATGTAATATATATATATTTTATTAGCTGATGAAATCCGGCTGAAGCTGAAGCCATGATCTTTCATTGGTTGATCAGATTCTATTCTCTAACCCCATTGGTTAGCTTCAGCATCAGCCGTGACATTTATTCATAATAATAACAATAATAACGATATATAGCCGATCTGATGGTAAAACAGTCAAGCCATGATCGACGACGTTAATTTTAGAATGGTAGTACGGCGTTGCGTTTTAAGCACCGTGTCGAATTTTGAGTGTCAGGCGCAGAAAATGTTTCGATTTTTGAGTGTCGCTAAAGGTATATAAGCGACCCTTATCCC